AGGGGAGTGGGAGCGTGCCGACGTCGGTGTACCCGCTCCCGCCGCAGCCTACGCGGACGGATCGGCCTGTGAGCCCGACGAAGCCTGCCGTGCCGCCGAACTGGCGCGGGATCATGGGACCCTCTGACCGGGAGCCGTTCCTGCAGAGTCAGGGGTGGGGGTGGTTTTCTTCGGGGACGTGGCATTACGGCGGCAGCGGGATGGGGCCTGGGAGGGGGGAGACGAGGGCGAAGGTTATGGCGTGCGGGATCACGAGCTGGTATTCGGGCAGGTTCTGGGGGTCGCTTGTGGAGGAGGAGGGGAAGAGGTTGAATCTGACGCGGGATGGATTCTGGAGCGGGCTGGATGGGGGAAACAGGAGCGTTGCGATGGATGAGCTTGGGAGGAGGAGGAGGCTGCATCATCTGGAGGGTGTGAGTGAGCAAGCGGCGGCGGGGATGAGAGGGGAGACAGAGGCTATGTTGAGGGATGTGCTGGAGGGGGGGAGGTGTAGTGGGATGGTCTGGGTCGATGTGTTTGCGGAGATTGTGCAGAGGAATGCTGGGCATCTGATGGCGCTTGAGAAGGCGGCGAGGTGGGCGGGAGACGAGGGGAATATCACAGAAGTGAGGGAGTGGTTGTACAAGTTGAGGGGCCAGAGCCACATGTTTTTGGTGTCGTTCCTGGAATACCCGAACGAGATTGACAGGGGTACGTGGGACGTTCAAGGGCCGCTTTTCGTGGAGACGTACTCGAGATGTCGGTACCGGTATACGAGGCTGCTGGTTGATATTCCAATGAAGCCGTGGGAGACGGACCTCAGAGACGCTGTCGAGGAGGTCATGGGCGGAATTTGCGGTGTGTTGCTGGAAGTCGGATTCGAGGTCGAGAGGGCTTGGTACGCGCTGGAAGAGGGTGCCGGCTCAAGGCTAGTGAAGTTGGCAGAGAGGTGGGAGGATAGTGTACGGGGTCTGAGGGCCTGGGTCGGGTGGGAGGGAGAATTCATCAGGTGCGACAAGGTTTGCGAGTGGGATGAGCGGTGTTACATCCCCATGTGGCCGCTTTTGAAGTCGGTCTGGGGCGGCAGACGGCCGAGACCTCCGCCTAGGGACGGGCCTGGGAATGGGACGGAGCCGAGGCCGGGGCCGCCTCCGGGCAAAGGACGCGGTCCGGGACATGGAGGTGGACACAAGGGCCCGGGCTACGGGATGCCGGGGCGAGGGCCCTCTTGGATGGGCGACGAGACTGACTTGTGGGCGCCCAAGTGTGTGAAGATGGACGACATCATGCCTAGGCCGAGGGCAGACTAGACTGTGGTCAGTGGTTCTTTCAGAAAGATCGGTTTCCTCCTTCGTTTGGTATAGAATCATGGCGTGAGTCGTCAATTGTATGTCTACCTCGAGAACAAAAGAACGAGATCTGCCAAAATTTCAAGAACATTGCAGATGAGGCGGCTCTAAATATCCTTCACTCGATAGCGAGCATGTTTCATTTTATGTAAATTCAAGCTTGACTTTTTGGTCATCTGATCTGGTCCGAGGTTAGCTTGCGGCTCCAAGTGACGAAGCCAAGGTAAACGTACCAAGGTATAACACGGATAATCTTGTGTCTCAATCTAGACTTTCAACTCTATAGCCTTGCCGATATTCCGTCCCAATTCCTCATTTCATGCGCTAATGTACGCCTTCATCGCCTTGACCGCATCGCCGTCGTTGGCCTTCAGCAGCTCTGTCGCCTTGGCCTTGGGGAGTTCCAGCTCGTCAACCTGCAATGGATACGTTAGCAAAAGTCAATTTCATCTCATCCCGGTTTTCCCCTCTCGGTAATGCGCTGCGCTTCTGTCTGCCAAAGGTAGATCTTGAGGACTACTGACCAGCAGCGTCACGTCGGCAGCGTCGACCTTGACGTTCTTGACCTCCTTCTTGGCGGCCGTGGCACCTCCCAGGCCCTTGATTGCCTTCTGCGCAGCCTCGGCGTCGACCTTGTCCTCGGAAGCGTCGTCGCCGCGGGCGTCGAGGCTCGCGAGCGCGGAAGCGGCCTTGCGGTCCTCGGCGGACTTTGCGGGCTGGACCTCCTCCTCGACGTCACCGCCGGTGGCGCCCTCGACAACGGCAGGGGGCTGCTTCTCGGACATGTTTGCGGCTATTCGGGGTAATCGTTCGGTCGTCGTGTGTGCAAGGGCGTGAGGTCGGGGGGTGGTGTGCAGTCTGATGGAGCTGTGAGGTTCGCAATCACGGAGGCACGTCCAGCAGCAGCAGCAAGTGCGAAGCTGACCTGGGTGCACAGGGCAGGCAGTTTGCAATTTGTGGTGGGGCAGTTCGAGGTGGGGGACGGGGGGAGGGGCACCACAGAGGGGAAGCTTTGGCGTAGGCGTCGCCCTCACCGACGGTGAGCCATCTGAGAAGGTCCGGTAGGCTTCGGCATAGCGTTGCCCTGGGGAAATCGCAAGGTGGTGCAACTTTAAGCACTAACTTGCTAGGTTCCGCGGCCTGGACGGATGCTCTGGTTCCTGGTTTATTTTTGCATGGCGTAAATTGCCTGCCGTCATTGGCCAATTTGACTTCCGCACCGTTGCATGTTCGATTTTTCTCCCCTGTGCTGCCCATTGAGCCACATTGTTCATGTCCCTGCATTCTGCCCATTGAATAAGACTGACTCACTATGCAGATGGCTCCTGCTCTCAAAAGAGTCATTCCGTCTTTGCATTGAGCTGCTTCACTTTTCTGACAGCTCTACAACTCCTTCCTACCCCTCAATCGACTCCTCCTCTCTTGTTCAACCTTCTCTTAGCAAACGCCGTCTTCTTCAGAGACCCTCACAAGCACCGCCATGTCCTCCTCCGCAACCTGGTCCCCTGATTCCTGGCGGTCAAAACCAATCAAACAGTCACCCGCATACCCAGACGAGGCGGCGCTCCAGAAGTCGGTCAAGGAACTCGGCCGTCTGCCTCCCATTGTTCACCCCAAGGAAATCGTCGCCCTGAAGCAGCACCTCCGCGATGTGGCTCTGGGCGAGGCCTTCCTGCTGCAGGGCGGCGACTGCGCCGAGCTCTTTGACTACTGTGAGCAAAATACCATTGAGTCGAAGATTAAGCTCCTGCTGCAGATGAGTCTGGTTCTCATTTGGGGTGCCGACAAGCGTGTCGTCCGCATTGGACGCATGGCTGGCCAGTATGCGAAGCCCAGGTCGAGTCCGACTGAGATGGTAGACGGTGTGGAGCTGCCGTCCTTCCGGGGCGACATTCTCAACGGCTTCCACGTCGACGAGCGGACCATTGATCCTCAAAGACTTGTCAAGTGAGTCGTTCTCATGAAAAAAGCTTCAACTTACCTGGACTGATCAAAATTAGGGCTTACCAGTACTCATCGGCAACTCTCAACTACATCAGAGCATCTCTCTCATCCGGCATAGCTGATCTCCACAGACCCCTTGACTGGGGCCTCGGTCACGTCCGGGACCCGGAGCTCAAGAGGAAGTACTCGGAAGCCGTCCTCTCTCTGACCGACATGCTCCGGTTCCTCCACACAATTGGCGCGGACAAGAGCGACAAGCTCGACACGGTCGACCTCTTCACCAGCCACGAGGGCTTGCTTCTCGAGTACGAGCAGCCGCTGACCCGCCTGCTGGAGACGCCGGCCCCGCGCCCCACACTCAACGGCGGTGGTGCTGCCGCGGAGACCAAGAAGGAGTACTACGACACCTCGGCGCACTTCCTCTGGATCGGCGACCGCACCCGTCAGATTGACGGTGCGCATGTCGAGTTCTTCAGGGGCATCGCGAACCCCGTCGGCATCAAGGTCGGCCCCACCACGCCCACGGACGACTTGCTCGCTTTGCTCCGCACCCTCAATCCGGACAAGGAGCCGGGCAAGATCACCCTCATCACTCGTTATGGTGCCGCCAAGGTGCGCTCTCTTCTGCCGGCGCACATCAGAGCCGTCGAGGACAGCGAGTACCGCCGCTGCGTCGTGTGGCAGTGCGACCCCATGCACGGCAACACGGTCTCAACTGGGGGCGGCATCAAGACACGTCGGTTCCGGGACATTTTTGAGGAGCTGCAGGAGACGCTGCGAATTCACAAGGAGCAGGGAAGTTACCTAGGAGGTGTGCACCTGGAGTTGACGGGCGATGCGGTGACGGAGTGTCTGGGTGGCAGTGAGGGACTGGATGAGGATGACTTGTCGACAAACTACACCAGTTTCTGCGACCCAAGACTGAACGAGAAGCAGGCGCTGGAGTTGGCGTTCTTGATCGCGGATCATTACAGAAACGAGAGAAGACCAGTCGTTTAGACGGGGGTACACATGGTTGAAGGGTGGAGGCATACTGGGCATACCGTGGCCACTAAAAGCAATTCCTTACATGAAATTCAGCAGGTTTATTGGTATCTGTGTCACTTGAACCCGCTTCCATTATATTCAGCTCGCAATCTCACGACACAGCTAGAGCGCTAGGACGGACCAGATGCACATCATCAGCGTCGTCCGTGCCCCGGAAAGGCCTGCCTACTGCAGACATCAAACACCCGTCAACCGAACCCGCACCGACAGTTCAGGGCGCAGAGGACCGAAGAAGTGGGCCCCAACGCTGAGCCAGCGCCGCTAAACCGTGGCCCAACAGGGAAGTTTCAAACGGATATCAGCGGGCCAACAGGTGAGGTGAGATAAGCCAATGCGCCCTGCGCTCCTTTCCCCAGTTCCGATAAGAGGAGCGGGGCTTCCCCGCGGCTCCGGCTAGAACCCCCGTGACCGGTGTAAGTAGTCTCCTTCCTCCCTTGAGGTGTCCCAATGCAATCCTCACCTTACACACACCTCTCTCGTAGCTCAAGCTCTCCTCGTCTCATCTCACTCGGGAGCTAATACCAACTTCACCTCAACCTAGTGATCACCTACTCAGAACCCACTTATAGCTCACAAGATGGTCTACCCATTGGACTATCTCCAACACCGCCGTGACTGGTCAGCAAAGCTACCCCAATGTCTAACCCCTCAGTAGGCCGGGGTCACTAACACGACTCCAGCAAATTCAAGCAGTCTGAACGCGCGGACAGGATCAGCCGCCTCACAGCCTACCAGGGCCCTTTCTCATCTCAAGACCGCCAGATCCTAGACAGGCCCATCGGCGAGCTCGTGCAAGATGTCCACAGGACCGTCCTGAAGCCCATTGACATCCTGAAAACCTACGGCAAGGTCGCCCTCAAGGCCCATGAGCGCACAAACTGCCTCACAGAGATCATGATCTCGGACGCCGAGAAGTGGGTCGAAGACGGCTCGATTAACATGAAGGGGCCCCTGGCCGGCATTCCCGTCAGTCTCAAGGACACCATCGTGGTGGGCGGCTATGACACCACCGTCGGCTTCAGCAGCTTCGTGGGGAACAAGACGCCGCTCGACGGCCCCGTGGTGCGGCTGCTAAAGGACGCCGGCGCGGTGCCGTACGTCAAGACGAATCTGCCCATCACCCTCCTCAGCTTCGAGTCCACCAATGACGTCTGGGGCCGGTGCAAGAACCCGCACAACACAAAGTACTCCCCCGGCGGCTCGACGGGCGGCGAGAGCGCGCTGCTGGCAATGGGCGGACGCATCGGCATCGGCAGCGACGTAGCCGGCAGCGTACGCGCACCCGCGCACTTCTCCGGCTGCTACAGCCTCCGCTGCTCCACAGGCCGCTGGCCAAAGCTGGGCTTCTGCACGAGCATGCCCGGCCAGGAGGGCGTGCCGTCGGTGTACAGCCCCATGACGCGGACCCTCGACGACCTGCGGTACTTCACCCGCGCCGTCGTCGGCATGGAGCCGTGGAAGTACGACTACAGCGTGCACCCGCTGGCGTGGCGGGACGACGTCGAGAAGGAGTTCCTCGAGAAGCCCAGGCTGCGCGTGGGCGTCATGCGCACCGACGGCGTGGTCGACCCGAGCCCGGCGTGCCGCCGCGCGCTCGAGATGGTGGAGGTCGCGCTGCGCAAGGACGGCCACGAGATCGTCGAGATCAGCCCGCCGTCGCCGTACGAGGCGCTCAAGACGGCGGCGCTGGCGCTCAACGCCGACGGGTGCAAGATGTTCGACTCCTTCTTCCGCGCGGGCGAGTGGAACGACCCCGGCGCCGCGCAGATGAAGTTCCTCATGAACCTGCCCGGCCCGCTGCGGTACGCGTACTACCTGTGGGTGAAGTACGTCCGCCGCGACGCCATGTGGGCGGACCTGATCCGTGACTGGCGCCCGCAGACGGCGTTTGAGAACTGGAAGCTCGTCGCGCGCAGGGAGGCGCACCGGCTGGACTGGTTCAACTGGTGGAACAAGGTCGAGGTCGACTTCCTCATCACCCCGCCCAACGCGACGCCCGCCGTGCCGCATGACGGTATGAAGGACGCCTGCAGCAGCTGCGGGTACACCTTCCTCTTCAACCTGGTGAGTCTTGCATGGTCTGTGTTGACTCGTGGTTTTCCACTGACGGAGTTCTAGCTCGATTACACCGCTGGCGTCATTCCTGTGACCCACGTGGACAAGGACCTGGACCAGCTCCCCGCGGACTTCAACATCAACAAGCTCAACGGCATCGCTCAGGGCGCGTATAAGCTGTACAACGCCAAGGACATGCACGGGCTCCCCGTTGGCGTTCAGGTTGTTGGCAGGAGGTTGGAGGAGGAGAAGGTTCTCTCCATCATGAAGAGGGTCGAGGATGCTTTGGGAGATGACAAGTACAAGCTGCTTGAGATTGACTAGGTCCGGAGAGGAGAGCTCTCAGTGAAGGCGTTGCCAGGGATTCTTGCGTCAGCTATGTAGCACTTTGGATTGAAAAGGAGATCAGTGACACCCCAACGTCCGGCCGATTTCGCCACGGATGTTTAATGCAAAACGCCCCATTGGAGGCCGCTTATTCCAAGCTGAATCGTATTTCCCGGATATAAGATGCCAATTGACTGACTTTCGGGTAGTCCCTGCCGTGTAAGTGGTTTGGAGATGCGGGGCTGCGGCCGCTGAGGCTGGTCCGAGATCGGACTGCGGGGTGCCATCCACTCTGACTTCACCTCGTTTGACGCGCGCGGGTGTACCGTGTAAGTCCTTCAAGACAAGTACTTAAGGAGCTGGAATTCTACATCAATATTTCATGAGCCAAGCAGTTTCAATTTCATCAAAGACCCGAAAAGTCAATCATGGCCGCACAAAAGGAAGACAAGTGGACGACGGAGGTGAGCTGGCTTCTATCCAACCCCACCTTTCAAGCACATGCAATGAACCACTGACTTACACCTCGCAGGCATACCAACACTCTGCCTCGTTCGTCCCAAAGCTCGCGACCAAGGTCGTCGGATGGCTCGACGTTCAGAAGGACGACGTCATCCTCGACATTGGCTGCGGTGGTAAGTCTCCTCTCTCCCTTAGTCTCATCAAGTCACACATGCTAACAAACAGTAAGACGGCATCCTCGACGTCGAGTTCGGCAAAATCCTAGCCCAAGGCTCTGGCTCCCTCCACGGCATCGACGCCTCGCCGTCCATGATCACCGCGGCCGAGAAGCTCGTCGCGGACGCCGGCCTGTCCAACTGCAAGTTCGAAGGTACCCTTCACCCGCCTCCAAGATTCCACCCATCTGCTAACACACCCCCAGTCCTCGACGCAACCAAGATCGCAACCTCCTCAACCCCCGCCCTCCAAGCCCCAACCTTCACAAAAGCCTTCTCCAACGCCGCGCTGCACTGGATCCTCCGCCCGCCCGGCGCCCAGATCCCCGTCTTCACCGCCGTCCGCGACGCCCTCCTCCCCGGCGCGCCCCTCGTCCTCGAGATGGGCGGTCTCGGCTGTGTCTGCGAGATGCGCACCGCGCTGCTGATGGCCGTCTCGCGGCGCGTGGGCATCGACAAGGCGAAGGAGGTCGATCCCTGGTTCTTCCCCGACGAAGCGTGGCTGACGCGCGCGCTCGAGGAGGAGGTCGGCGGGTGGAAGGTGGAGAAGATTGAGCGCGAGTGGCGCCCGACGATCGCGGACAGGGGCGGCGTGGAGGGATGGTGCCGGCTGATGGGCAAGGAGCTGCTGGACGCGGTGGAGGATGAGGAGGAGAGGGAGAAGTGCGTGAGGGAGGTGGCGGATGTTTTGGAGCATGTGTGTGCTGTGCCGGGCGGGGGGCATATGATTAGTTACGTGAGGTTGAGGTGTGTTGCGAGGAAGCTTTAGAGATTGGTTTGCGGAGATGTTGTGGCGAGACACAAGGCGTCTTTTTGCAGTTTGAATTGAGATCATGAGTGGTCATAGGCCGGAAATAGATCAGGGTACTGTCTTTGTGCAAGTCGTTCGAATTGGTCAGGATACGTCTGTTTACATGTAAAAGTTTCCCACAGACTTTTAAGCCATAAGTCCCCTCGAAACGTTCCGTTTACAAGCTATTTTGAGGTGTGCATATGCTTATTTGGTTTTCTACTTCGGCTTATTCCTTCTATGGCAAGTAGGACATCATGGTCAAATTGTACATCTATCAGATAACAACCATTGAGACATCTCCCAGACATCTCCAGTACCTTCTTTTTCCGCCAGGAAGTTTTTTGACAATGACCGAAATTCACAGAGTACAAGGAGTTGTGATTAGTCTTCGCGATTGAAAGTCACCAGTTATAGAGGGGTGACCACTTGCGTTTGTATATGCAGCAAAGCCCGCGTAAGTGTGAGTGCAATATCTTACGACAATCACTCGCCTATTAAAGCAGCTTTGAGATGTTGTCATTACCTGAACAATTGCGCAGAAACTCATTGCGGAGCAGGAAGAATCCAAAGAAATTGAGCTGAGAATCAACTTCCCTGTTAGCGCCAGCAGGAATTGCTGGCTCTATGTACTTGAACAGCATACGCGTGAGTTGCGCCTCTTCACTTTGTCTTCACTGATGTCAGTGGTTCTCTATTATTATTACCCTGACTATGCGCCTGAACGGCCGGAAACCGCTCACTGCGTGGATAGCGCATAGGTATATGTAAGCTCCATCCACACAGTGAATATCAAGAGAACTGAAGGACGAGAGCGACGAAAACAAGGATAACAATAGAAATGAGGACAGATAGCGGCGGACGAGGACAAGGATAACAACGGAGACGAGGACAAGGACAAGGATGAGAGTTGCAATGGTGTATCGGAGGCAATGGTCATGGAACTCGTTGCGAACAGGAACGTCTTGCGAATTGTTAACGTCGACGCCGGCGCCATGCCGCAAGTCATGGGGTTTGAAGCGCTCTTTCAACCCGACGGCGGCGGTGAAATTTTCGATAGCCCATGAAGTCGATCCTCTGGTCGACGGTTTATCTAGCTGTACCTCACACGACGTCGAAGACTGAGGGAATACTGGTCTCAGAGGATGGACCCAATCGACTAATGGTACTGTCTTAGGAAGAGTCTTGGTGCATAGTTCGTCGAAGGTTTTTGCGTCGACCGCCCCGAATCTAATAGCCATGATAACTAGACAGTTCAATGGGCAGAGGTACGGGACGGTGCAAGTTTTAAGCGTGACAACTCGCTTCCTGTCATCGGATCGACTCTCTCCGTACAAAGGGGTTAGCTCTCTGGACGATGACTCTGGACGATGACGGCGGACGATGACGAGGGACGATGACGAGGGACGATGACGAGGGACGATGACGAGGGACGATGACGAGGGACGATCAAGAATGTGATGAAGGCCGTTCCTTCGCCTTCGGTTACTCGGAAGCATCCCGCTCGACCGGTTTTCCCGCAATCCACGACAAAAGAGGCTCGCCGTTTCGATATTTTCAGCGACACGACGTATCGCTCTGTCTTCGCCGAGGATGACCGTATTTCAATCGACGCTCAAATCGGTACTCACTGGCAGAAAGGCAGAAAGTAAGTTCTCCTACTTCACCGCGGTCGATTTCGACGTTGCTTCTCTATTCAAAGTCATCAGCATTGGAACAAATTTTTGAAGAAGGTCATGAAACCCACAGAAATCAAGCAAGGAGTAAATAATGATTGTAGTACTCGATGTTTGTGTGTAACTTTGAGGAATAGAGACATGTTGAGGAAGTTTCGAGCCCACCCAGTAGGGGTTTTCACAGTACGGAAAAAGGAGTAAAAGCACCTCGGTCAGTGCCCAGTCCAGTAGCTGAGGAATAGAGACGTAACGTTACCCATGCTGCCTCGTTGCTCATATCGGTATCATAGTTCAGCAAGAACATGTCGCTCTTTCGGCGAGACGAGACAGATGGCGCCTTTATGTTCTAGGAGGGAAAACCGACCCGCTGGTTTGAAGTCTTCAAGAGAGCGACCATTTGGAAACATCACAAGAGTTGCAGAGCAAGGAAAAATGCCAAAGGGTTTCCTCCGCTTCTCCAAGAAAGTATGTCTCATTTAATATTAGTAATAATTCTTGGCAATCATGCACGTTTGCATCTCGTTGAGATAGTAACCCGTTGGTGTCCTTCATCTATCGCTTTCTGCGTCCGTCTATATAGCCCACATACTCGCAAACGATAACAAGGGCGAGGCAGCTTAGCAGCGCAATCTTCATGCTATCATTGCCAAGGGGCATGCGAGGATTTTCCAACTGTCTAGATAGGATTAAGGAGAATACAAGCACTTCGCTGACGCATATTGCTGACTGACTATCGCGTTTTATTTATACCTTAGGTTATCGACCAGGAAACGAACATCCTCCTCGAGAACACACGCCTTCGCGTGTTGGCGGAGCGTCGCAGACTACTCTATAGGAGAATTCGTGCCCACGGTCCTGTTTCCTATAAGTTCTGAACGTAACGTATGGTTTCTTGTAAGCGCCAAAACAAATCCGTTCGTCTCAAACCCATGTTTGGTCCAAAATGCATTACAATGGTCGTACCTGACGAAAGGTATGTCTACAAGCCTCACTGCAAGCCCGCGCAGCCCGGAGGTCTTGTTCCCACCTGTCATCATTCCTTCTTAGCATGTATTGGATTTGAACAAACGGACAGAACTAATATGCTGTACAGCATAGACATCCCAGCATTACTGTTCATGGTGATTGAGCAGCAGACTGTCAAATAGCCAGTGTAGTCTCCGCAGCCTAAACCACTGTGGGACAACCCACACATTTAGCGCACTTTCTAGGATTCATATTCTCATGATGCGTCTTAAATACATACCCAAAAGCTCCTGAAGTGAAAGCTGGGTTCTACTGACAAGAGAGAGCCAGCAGAGTGCCACATCACTAACACCAAGCTATCTCAAGTATATAAGCCAGGAGAAAGCACTACTATTAGAGCTAGCAAACCGCCGCAGGGAGTTGTGTGATAATCAGCTGCACGGAACACGCGCAAGCCAGCAGGTTCTTACTGAAGTAGTCTGCGCAGAAGAACCTCACCACTTTCAAAGGCGCCATCCACATCAGTCTCACTATTATTTCTCCCCTCATCTTTGTTGATCATCATTGTCCCCCATCTATCGCGTAACTGTTCGCACGTATTCCGTTGCGTAAAGTGTGATGCTTAAACTTCTCCCACGCTGCATCCTATGTTAGAAACTGCATGTCTTGCGTGACTTCCACGCTCCGCTCTTTTATTAAATTGAGTTAGATAGTAGACAGCAACAATACAATACTTGCTGCGCTTTAACATATGCAACATCACAGTGTTATCCTTTATACCTACTGCTGTTCTAAAATTTCATATTGCTGCGCAGAGAGCTTAACTTCTATAAAAAGTCTTTCTATGCGCAGTTAGAAAGAGGCACACAGCAGTAGAAGAACAGGAGCACGCCACTTAATAAATATCTCAGGGCAGAGTTAGGACTCCAGAGTAGCTAGGAAAACGTTTAAAAACCCCTTAGGCACCTAGTTAAACACCCTTCCATATACGTCCTTGTTACTATCTTCCCTCATCGCTACCCCGCGCGTATGTATTCACAGCCTCAGACGCAGGGGATAAGCTTGTAATGCATCTGACCTACTTTTAAGACCTGTCTTTCACATTTCTAGCAGTCCCTTAAAAGGATGTTCGTTAATAGCACAAGCATTGCGCGCACTTACAGCGTCATTCCCTTCTCTATTTCCACCATTTAGAAAACATCCCCTAAGAATAGCAGAGCTACTTAAAGAAATCTAGAATTCTCTTAATAAAGCCCTTTTATTTCTAAAAACAAAGCTGCAGAGGAGTAAAGACATCACTTTAATCCAACTCCTTAACAACCGCTATAGACATCTCCTCGCGCATAAGCCACATAACAGTATATATTTAAAGCCAGCATCTTCACTCATTATTTCCTTTTTTTCTAGGCCACGATACAGCTAACTCATAGTTCTCTGGCCAAATTTCCAGATTTGTTGTTGCGAAGAACAGCAGATGAAATGGAAACTGCGCTTATAGCGGTCATAAACCTAAAAATGGCGAAGCTGCGGTGTGACAGAACGACCAGCACTTGACCGATCATCTTTCACACTCCACACTCCATCATCTTCGAACGCGCTCATCCTTTGCGTTTTCAAGCCCCAATTACTCCCTCAAGGACAAAACTCTTCAGGCATGAAAGCCCTGAGCATTTGCTCATCACACCCTCTTGAACATCTATCCACCATGGAAGCCGTCTTCAAGTCTCTCCTCGCACGGCAGCTACGAGCCAATCTGTACTACTTCAAGCCGGCATCCTCTCGCACTCCTTCCCTTCTTTTTGAACCACAGTACTACTTCATTTGATTCAGATCAGAATTGACGGAGCGTGTTTTCTTGGCACCTATGCGCAACAGACAACCACTTACTCTACTTAGCGAACAGCAAGCATGATAGGAGAGGCCCTTCAAATCGCACACGCACTCGCCATCCGGGGAACATCCTGTCCGTGAAGTGATCATACCCCCAAATACTCCAAAAACAGAAAACCTCCCGGCCCCAAGCCAAACCCATCTCACCATGTCAGCATCATCAACCACCCACCTGCCCGCCAACCATGAACGCAGACATTTCAATCATCGAAGAATTCCACAGTCAGATTGTATCACCTTCAACATCTCCAGAACAGCCCTGTCATATACTCTCACTGTGTCTCACCTGAACCTGGGTGCTGAGTCGCCAGTCCCGACAGTCCGGAACACACCCAAACCGGCCCCACTCTCGGCCCGCCGATGACTTGCATCCCGTTCTTTCTGCCCACCCGCCGGCGCGCGTACGGCACAGACGTCTTCCGGAGAAATACCAAACCTTATTCTGGTCGACGGGCATCCCCTACCCAAACTTCTCTACTCCCAGGTCCGATATCGAGACGCCCCTAATCAAGCTTCAAGATCTTCGACCTCGTCGAACATCGGATAACACACAAACCCTAGAACGGCTCACACACTGCATGCGGGGGCACGCCTGCAACAGAAGTCATTTGCAAAATATTAACATCATCAATTGAACGAGGCCCATGCTCGTAAGCAAAAGGCGGCAGAAGATCATCACTGCTAGATAAAAGGCCTATCCCATAATGAACGCCCGGTGCCATGTTTATGTCCCGCCGTCTATGCCGGTTCCCGAACGGAAGAGCCAAACCAAAAAGGCAAAATGTAATGTATAAACCCTGAACCCCCCGAATCCGAAATCCCTAAATTTTTTGGCACCAAATCCCGTTTATCGAAGAAAAGATAGGGACGGGAGAAAAAAAGACGTTTCTGCCTTTACGCCGATCGAAATGCCAAGATGCAACGTGACCTGTCGCGCGATCCGGCTCTTGGTATGCTGTTCCATGTGGCATTGTTCTTATGTACAAATCTGTTGCCTGGATGGGAGGAAATGATGCCGCTGAAGATATGAGGTGAATTGAGACCCGGAACCTGAGCGCCTCGCTGTGTTCGTTCGCCCGAGTCGGGCCGTTACGGAGAGGATGCCGAAAAACTCTAAGATCTTCGCTTCTTTTCTTCCTTTTCCAACTTTTCAACGTTCTCTTCAGTGAGGGAGTCACCCGTGTCACCGGCAATGACCGTCTGGAACGATGCACCGCGTCGCTCGAGCTTCTTCCCGCCGGCAGCATCCATCAACTTATCGGCTTGAGCTTGCAGAGCGAGCTCGTCTGTCTCTGATCGGCGGATTGGTTTGGAATTGACGCCTGGTGAGTCAAACGGTGAAGGTTCATATGAGTTATTCCTCGTGAGAGGCCTTGGTGTAGCCACATCACCCCGGTCCTCCTTCTCGGGATCCTGCTTCTTGTTCTCCGCCTCCTTCGTAATGGCATTCAAGGTGCCTGTGGAGTCGCCATGGTCGTGTTCGACGCCTGGGATGTCTGCATTGCTGCAATGTTCAGCAGTGTCTGAGCAGTCGGAAAGAGAGCCATCCGAACCCTTCTGCGTCGTTCCTTGCTGTCGTTTTGCCAGGCTCCATCTCACCAACATTCTTTCGAGCGTCTTGCTTTTGACGGGCTTGGAAAGGTAATCGTCCATGCCAGCTTTCGTGCACTTTTCCTTGTCACCTTGGATCGCCGAAGCTGTCATTGCGACGATGGGAATGTCTCGCACGTAAGTCTTGTATGGCACATGGTGACGAAGAAGGTGCGTGCACTTGTAGCCGTCGATGACGGGCATCTGCACGTCCATAAGTATGATGTCCGGCTTCGCGTGCTTGCCTTCCTTTGCCGCAGCCATGTACTCAAGCGCGTCCTTGCCGTTCCACGCCGCAGTCACCTTGAATCCAAGCTTCATAATCGTTTTGGTGGCGATTTGTTGGTTGATGGCACTGTACTTGGTTAGTGTGGGCTCAGATGCTTGCCAACAGTACACTCACTTGTCTTCGACCACCAATACATGAATCTTGGCGCGTTCGGCGGCTGGCAACATTTCCTCATCGGAAGCTGGTGGAGTTCGCACAGATAGTCGGCGGGAAGGGGACTTGTGTTTGTCGGTCAAGAATTGCGATGACTCTCCAGAAGCTGGAGGCGTGTTGATTAATTGCTCAAATTCTGAGCTGTTGCAAGAGACGCTCATCTCAGACTGTAATCGGTCCGGAAGCGAGCCAATCTCCACAATCGGCTTGCCAGCTTGTCGCCCCTGAGGCTTACTGAAGGGGACCCAGAAAGTTGCGACGGTTCCATTGCCGAGCGACGATTCTAGAGTCATGTCTCCGTGCATGAGGTCGAGCAAATTCTTGCAAATAGTGAGGCCCAGACCAGTTCCGCCGAATTTCCTAGCCGTGGATGCATCACCCTGGCTGAATGGTTGGAAAAGCTTCTTCCGAACCTCCTCTTCAATGCCGATACCGCTGTCTTCAACAATAAACTTGACGATGATGCTGTCCGCAGTCTCCTTCTCCTTCTGGACTGAGAATTTGACATACCCTTGGTTGGTGAACTTGATACTGTTGGTGAGGAGGTTGGTGATGATTTGACGAACACGGCCGGGATCGCCAATGACGACGAGGTCGTTTTCGATGTCTTTCGAAATATCCGACCTGAAGTCGAGATTCTTCCGTTCGGCGGCGAAGCTCAGCATCTTCCCGACATCTGTCACAATTACTGATAATGAGAACTGGACCTCTTCGATGTCCAGGCGTCCTGATTCGACCTTGGAAAAATCAAGAATATCGTTGATGACAGTCAAGAGGGCGTTTGCAGATCTCTGAATGTTCTCAACGTACTCCATCTGCTCAGAATCAAGTTCCATGTCGCCAAGCAACTCGGCCATTCCTATGACACCTGTGATGGGTGTCCGGATTTCGTGAGACATCTGTAACGTAGTCAGCGACGTTGCATCATTCAACTTGATTACCACCGCTCACATTGGCAAGGAACTGGCTCTTTAGCCTGTTGGCTTCCTTGGCAGCCGCTTCGTTCGCCATCGCTTGCTTCTTCTCCCGGGACTCCTCTTCAAGATCCTCTACCTTTTCCTTGAGTTCACTGACATCCATAATGACTCCAATGACACCCTCAACGCAAGTCTCGTTTGTCACGATTCCTTCCTTTGATTTCTTGCCGAGTATAGGAAGGAACCTTGTCCGGTACCAACGTCCATCCATTCCGTGTTCCGCCACTTCCTCTGTCTTACCGCCTCCTAGAATGTCCTCAATTGGCCGGAGAAATTTTGGGCGTTCGCCGGTCTTGAGTTGTGGATTCAGACGATTGAAGACATCATACATGTCTTGGCCGATGAACCAGTCGGAGTTATCGTGGTTGCTTTCCTCACCGTTGTCCCATATGAGGGCACCCTCCAGCATTGTGAGTTTGCGGCTTGTGTCAACCGTGAAGATGGTTACTTGTGAATGTGCGAGAACACTCAAGAGCTGCTGCCGGGTACGTCTGGCAGTCAGCTTTGCTTCGATGCCCTCGTTCACGTCGGTACAAGTTCCGAACCACTTTTCAATTTTGCCGGTCTCCTTATTCTTTAACGGCAGAGCACGGCCCAGCATCCATCTCCATTCCCCAGTCTTGCTGCGGCACCTGTACTCGGTGACATATGGATCTCCAGTGGCGAGTGAGTGCTTCCACCTTTTGACAGTTTCAGGCATGTCATCTGGGTGAAACGGGTGCTTCCAACCGAGGCCCAGCGATTCCTCGGGTGTCAGGCCCGTGTACGTGTACCATCGGGTGTTGAAAAAGTCGTGAAAACCGTCAGGTCTGGTCGTCCAAACCAATTGAGGCATTGTATCGCAGATCAATTTGAACCGCTCCTCGTCCCGTTCCTTAATCTCGGTGATTTCTTCAGTCATCTTTGTTACGTCCCGGAATGTCACCACACCGGCAAGAAACTCCCCGGTGGCATCATCCCTAATAGCTTCTCCCAGGGCATCGTAGACTGTCCTCTTTCCAGTCTTCTCCTCCATCATCCCCACGCGCATGTTGCTGAACGGTGTTTCGGTTCGAAGTAGTATCGAAATGGGGTATTCGCTGACGTCTAATTCTCTGGTAAATTCCGAGTTATAAATGGTCCAGCTTGGCAGCAGGTCGAAGCCGTCAGCAGATCGCTCCAAGTCGTTCTCTTGGCGCAAAAGGCTGCGTGCTGCCTTGTTTGGAAACGTCACACTACCATCTTTCCACATCGCAAGAATCGGCATCGTTGTATTATCGAGAAGAGCATCCTTCATGAGAATCATCTTCTGCAAAATCGACGGGGTGCTCGCGTGGGCTGCTGTTGAGGGTGGACCCATCGGTGGAAACGGGCTCGACGATAGTGACACCGCACTAGGGCTGACACGGAATGAAGGAGAGCTGGAGTCGTGACTGGAGCTCACTGATGGCGGGTTTGAATTTGATATGGTTTTACGATCCGCTTGTTCGAGTATGTTCGGCCTTGTCGTGGATTTGCGGCTCGAGATGAGAGTTGACGGCGGCGATTGAGAGCTCGTAAATGTGAGCGTGAAGTAGACCTGGTGCTCTTCAATCTCCCATATTGTTACAATCATCTTGGCGTAAACTTGATGATCAGACGCTCCACCTTTGCTCCGTGGGTCAAATCCAGGCTTTCCAAGTTCCTTCCTGGAGATGATGACATCCACCACTGCGTCCTTGACAGTCGGGGTGCTTGATGCGTGATCAGGTATCGGCGGGGCCAGCGAGCCTGCGGTCGGGGTGGCTTCCCCACCCTGGCCGAACATGTCTGCCGCGTCCTTGGAGGTCTGCCTCGCACCCATCTCTAACACAAGTGAGTCCAAGAAAGCTTCCCATCCAACCCAAACGGGGCGTCCCTCTTGAATCATGTCGATTCCAACCTGAGAAAGTGACTGCCCTCTCAACCTCTCAGCAATATAAGAATGGGTATCCTCGGAAGCGTCCGAATTCATGCCGAGCATCCTGCCCATCGCCTCATTGGCAAGCACGACCGTCTTCAGATTATTCAAAACCAGCAACGGCACTGGTAGATATTGCATAGTCGAGAAGGCGAGCTGGCCCGGTGTGATGAAAGGCATCGATATGCGAAACGGACTTGTCGAGTTGGATCGCTTGCCGCTGCCGCCGGCCAGGTTGAGGTTCTCGCGGAAAAAGCGACTCCTAGCACTGGTAGAGCTTGCGGCGCCATCGCTTCGGAGAGAACCGACTTCAGGCTGGGATTTGGCGTCGAAGTTGAAGCCGCTATCCTTGCTATCCCCAGAAGATTGCCGAGAGCCTAGCTTGGGAGGTTCTTCGGGCGAAACCGAGGTTTTTGGTGGAACAATCACGGGGCCGTTGGCTCGCGCATGGCCGCCGGCAAGAAGAGGCTCGGAGGGTGGCATTTCGGTGTTGGCTCGCGCATGGGAAGCCGCAGGTCGTGGGAGAACCTTCCAGTCAGTGAAGGGCGTGGACAAGTCTGCAGGTCGAGAAAACAGTCGTGGCAGGCGGTGATCGCAAACAGAGGTTGCCGAGGGTGGAGGAGTAACGGAGAAGCTGCGGACCAGGTCGAAGCAGCAAGTGGGTTGGTTGCTAGAGAATCGTGTGGGGAGGGAAGGCGAGGCAGAGCATGGCGCGGCGCCCTGTGTTCTGTGAGAGAGCGTGCGTTCTAGACTACCGGATTCTAGGCCGGTCTCCGGATAGGTCTTTGGTTGGGAATGTGCTCTAATTGATTGCGGTCTAGGCGTAGCGCGCGGTGGAGGGCGAAGATTGAGCGCAAGCGCTGTCTTGAGTGTGTGCGAGAGAGAGTGTGTCTGTTAGTCGACAAGCCTCCCGATTCCGTGTGGGACTGTCAGCTAGCAGGAACAGAGCGACAACGGCGGCTGAGGCTGTCAGGGCTGGTGAAAGCGCAAGCAGATTTCGGCGCTATTCGGCAGAGGCGAGAGGAGGCGGAGGGAGGATTTGGGCGTTGTTTGGGATGAATTCTCGAACAACTCCGGGTCGACTGCAAACGGCGGCGTCGAGGGGCGGCGGCGGAGAGATGAAAGACGGAGTGGGAGGGCGTGCTTGTGTGACGACACCGCAGCGGCAGTCGCAGCAGCAGCAGCAGCAGCAGCAGCAGCAGCAGAGCGGCGGCGGCAATAGCAAGACGTCGGGCTTAGTAAGGATGTCTCTGTCTCGCGAATGGGAAATCCGAAATCAGCGGATGGCGGGCTGGGGTCCGGAAGTGGTGTGGTGTGGTGAGGTCGTGTTGAGGTCGAGGTTGTGCGAGAGTCGTGGTCCAGTCGCGGAGCAGCAGGAAACGCAAGACGGAAAGAAAGAAGATGCAGGCGCAGGTGCGATGACGGGCTCGGTAGGGCAGTTACCGCTCATCAGTTCCAGTTCGAGCCCCAGATGTTTAGTCGAGGTGCACAGTAGTTCGCAGCAGCCGCGGTATCTGCAGTCTAGCTTGGCGCAATAAGAAAGGGAATAAGTGGCATAAGAGGAGGGACGTAATATGGGAGAGGGGAAATGGAATCGAAGGGAAGATTAGGTCCAATTGGTAGGTAGAAAAGAAGAGACGCCAACCAAGACCAAAATCATCAGTAGTAGCAATGGGAGGTGGACTAAGCAAGACGGAGGAAGAAGATGGAAGAGATGGGATGGGGATGGATCCCGTCACTGAGGTGCTACTGCTACTGCTGAGAAAGGAAGAAGCACGAGAGGCAGGCGGAGGCAGGGTCGGGTAAGGTAAGGTAGGTAAGGTACCGTCTCCATCAGGTAGGCACGCAGCAGGCCTTGAAGGTGAGGCAGGTACAAACTGACAGTAAGTAGCGCGGTGCAAAGAGGCGGTACAGATGGACAATCAGCTAGGCAGGTAGGTTCGCTGCACCACCTTACACTACCTTACCACCTTTACCTGCCCTAGCACTGGCATCGACAGTGACAGTTGCAGCAGGCAGTTAGTTAGACTGGACGAGGATGCGGACGAGGATGCGGACGAGGACGAGGGATGGGACCGTCATAGTCCAAACTTTGTTTAAGTGGGAGTGCCCCCCCGGTTAGCGGTGGTGAAGCGTCAAGACGCAGGAGAATTGGTCGAACCCCAGCCCAAAGTCTGGGGGGGCCTGTCACCGCAGCTTGGGGGTCCTGGACGCCCAGGGCAATTCTTGGGAAGGAAACATGGACGGGGGTCCTGGAAGGGGAGGGTGGAACACTGGACAGTCCAAACAGTGGAACATGGACTCGACTGGAACCTGCGCCGATTGATTTGAATCCATCCATCCAGCAAGTCGCACTTCCGCTGGACTTGGGCTGACGCTGCGCTCGTGGCCCCAGGATGACGGGATGACGACGGGTGGGGAGAGGGGAGAGAACACAGAGGAGGAACGCTGAACACCGTGAAGGCATAGGCAAAGGTAAGGAAGAGAAAGGCCCTTCCATTGCCGTGTTCCGTCTTCGTGGTGGTGTAGCGCACAACATCGCCCGCCCGCTCAGTCGGTCTCCTCACCCGGGGGAGGCAAACACTCATCGTCATTTTCACCCGAGCAGTTTCTGATGGAGGTCGGAGGGTAACTCGGGGTTCACTGGGGAGAACATGTCTGCCATGTATCCTGCCAGCACGAATACGCGGAGGCGGTACTCGTTCCTGGTTCTTCTGATGGTCACTTGCGTGGTATTACATAAGGCATTCTTGTATCCGAGGACCGCTAATGCATCTCACCTACAAGAATACGGGTCGAGAGGGGATGGGAAAGTGGGCAAATGTATGCAAAACTCCCGCCGCCCTGCCATCGGGGGGATCGAATTCACTCACGCTTCACCACTCCTCACTCCAGAGCTGTCTCCGTACTCTACACCACGTATGCTTGCCCAAGGTACCGTCCACTGCCCTGCCGTGTCTGCACACCACCACCACAACTGCCACCACCACCCTCCCTCGCATGCAGCCTGCAGAACCAGGGGCCACCCTCCATTCATACGGCGTTACAGCGGTTGACGCCCCACTGCAGACCGCTCTGTTGAGCCCTGCGCGCCCACTCCAACGCCCTGCCACCACCGTTCAGTGGGTCTGCCGTCCCTGTTCGCTGGAAAGTGTGCCCATCCATGGGCTCTCAGGGCTGGGCTGGCTGGCCGACATGTCTGTACGCAGTACACGGGCTGTGCGTGCTGTAGACGCTCCTCACCACCTCACCTCCCTCCACGCCGAGCTCGCAACTCTCCCTCTTCCTCCCGTCCGCCCATCCACCATCCACGCCTTCGATCCCTTTCCGCCCACCCAGAACCTCAAAATCTTCACCTCTTCGCGGGGAATTCCCTTGCTTTTTCTGTAGCTCAGGGCACCAGGCACTGTCGCCACCGCCCAGGCAGGTTTCGCTATCGGTTAGGGGTCCCTCCTTTTCTCCTTACAACGGACCCAAGCTCCAGCGTCCCGTCATTCCCAAGCAATATTGTCCACGCATGCCAATAGTACCTCATCTTGCTGCCGTCTGTCGCACCCACGGCTGTAGTGTACATGTCTAAAATGATGTCTTGCGCAGCCCCTAGATGCTCGGCTGCATCCCCATCCGCCTCGGTAGGTTGGCCCTTCCAACGCCGGCCGCCCAGCGTAACCGATGTACACCTCGCCTCATGCACTAAACCGCCTCACGCCCAATCGACTCTCAGTGGCCAATCTTTTCTGGCGACCCCTTCTGTGTGCATGGAATCATCTGGGATTTTTTGCTGGGACACGCCCACAAATCTCCACTGGCGGGCTGCAAGAATATACGGCCGGCACCAGAAATCATAAGATATTCAAACCGAACGAACCCAGAAGTTGGGATGGTTTGTCTGAGGAAACCCGTCACCCCTTCTTCCGCCTCGCCTTGCGTTAATTCCCTTGTCCACTGCGGTATGGATCCTCATCGACACCGCCCGTCATCACGATCCCCGGGAGTCCGTATTACTGCGTATGCTGAGCGGGTACGCGAGCCTTATGTTGGCAAAGTCCGCAGCCATGACGGCACCGGAGGATCCAGCGGACAACGCGACCCTCGGAAACGGGGCGTCTCCGGACGTGAAATTTGAGAAAAATGGGCTGCCACGCCCACCTGCCCAAACCCCGGTAACGAAAGGGTGATGGGCGCTTCTTGCAGCAATAGACCCTGACCAGGCCCAAACCGAGACAGAAACACATCAAAATCAGGCCGATCTGTCCAACAATCGGAACTTTTTCCAATCCACGGGAGGCACATTTGCTGATCTTCTCTTTGTCTCGAATTCGACGTCCCTGGCTCCGTTCCGTGCTTGTCTTAAATCGGTAACCCCAACCGGTCAAAAGTTTTCATGCCCGTGTTTGTCGTTTGTTTGCTCAGAAGCTTATCCAGTCGGTGAGTATCGTCTCAGAAAATTACCAGAGGAAGAAAAAACCACTCTTTGTCAGGTGCGTATACACCAATCCGTCAGAGACAGAAAGCTTAGCTTGCTGCCTTTGCCGCTGGGCCTCGATGGCGATTGTGCCAAGACTGCTGGACGACTGCCGGAGTTTGATAGAGTCAGACAAGACCGGCGGCTGAGTGGATTTGGGAGCTGCTCGTATGTACTCCCGGGCACACTAGGCATTTACCACAAGCCCCGAGTCGGGCTGGGGACAGCCAGAGAGCTTGGTAGCGAGCCTGCAAACTTGGTCTTAGCCCGCCACCCTTGTCACGAACTGCTCTATCCATACAGAGATTCACGATGTCCGATTCTCAGCGTTGGGCGCCGTCAAGTCCGCATGGGCGTGGGCAACTGCCGCTACGAATAAGGCCACAATGATGAATGTACCTCATCATCGACTCCAATGTCTTCGCGGCGTCGCTTATCCGGGTGATCCCGTCAGCCGGGCGTTTGACCGACATCGTGGTGGTTGCTCCTTCAGCATCAACGCACTGGGATTTGTCTGGCATCCTTCGAGGAAACGCAAGCTGTTCGGTTCGTCGTGTTTGCTGCAAATTGCATATTTGAGGTGCCCGCGTGACTGTGACGGCTGCGACATGATCAGCTCTCGGTGAGTCCTTTTCCAGCTTCCAGCACCCACTCATTGTGAATGAATACCTGCCAGTGCTTGCCTCCTACACTGGATTCGGATAAACGCAAAAGATGGCTCTGACTATCCTCACCCAGCGTGGTTTGGTGACAAATTTGCCCTGCGTCTAGACCTCACGGCCTCTCCATCGATCGAAGATCTGCCACCCGAACAGGTCTAGCTTGAAAGCACTCAAGACGGCCTAGACCGGGATGGCCACAGACCCGACCAGGGCCCTGATGGTTCTCTCCATATCGGTGCGCCATCAGTGCCACACGAGCTCCACGGAACAACGCAGATCATCTGACCCTGGCAGCCAGTCAGAGCCAATCAAGACAACGGGGAACGACTCCGTTCCGAACAGCTTTGCTGCCCGAGCGTGTCAGCAGCGACGTCATGATGCCATAAGCAGGCTTTTGGGTGCACCGGTGTCGCATCAAGCAATCAGGATTGGCCCAGACCACGCCAATCCCTCGACATGTTCTCGAAAGTTGTGCGTGCGAAGCAACGCCAAGTGGCCTGTGCTGGCTTTGTTTGACATGTGCCCGGAGCGTGCCAACCGTGCCATTCATTCCATGACTCGACCTCATCTGTCTTGCCAACAAAGCCCTAGCTCCAAGGGAGTGTTTACATTTTACAACCTCCACAAGCCACCCATTATGTCATTTCGTCCGGAGTGCGTCGCAATACTCGATTTCTCGCCTCAAATTAAATCATACAGCATGATGTAGGTTGCGCGGCTCTATTCGGCTTGCAAGGGTATCATCAACCATGTCGTCACTTGGACCCTGGAGGATCCAGAAGACCCCTTCTCTTCATCTGTTTGGGGATGTCAGCGTTCGTCTCGGCCTCGCTTCTTCAGACTTCCCCGCTCTTTCAAGCGGAATTATCCTTCATCACTCCACACGTTGAACACGTCCACCACTGTCTTTCCATGGTCGTGCCGCAAAAGGAACAATCCCAAGTCAGGGGTTTCGCCGGGGCTGGTACACCGTAGCTGGCAGCAACGCCGACGCTATTGTTTCTCCTTGGCGGGCTGCGTGTAAGATCTATCGTCTCTGGCAGTGATGTTCCACCCGCCGTTGAGGCTACTGATGCCCGTTGACGCTCGCGCTTCTCGGCATTTGGCGTCCACACTTGGCGCTGAGGATCTTGGCCTTTTTCTGTTCCACACGCGTCGCAGCATAGGAAGTTGGCAGGATTATGTAGAGTACAGACCCCGCACGTCCAACCCCGTTGCTGAGCTGGCAGGGGACGTGGGGCTGCGATCACCGGCGGTCGGGTTTCGGGCCTTGGGACCGGCGGCGGGGGCGTAGGTCTTGATGCCGGCCTGGGGATCGGAGGTGGCGCGCTGTTCCTTCTCGGTTCGAAGTCTCCCATGACGGACCCACCCCCATTGCCGGTCGGATTTTGAGCACTCGGAGGGACGTAGTAGCCTCCATAACGCTGCTTTTCCTCTTCCTGTACGAGTTCCCAGAGTGCCTGAGCGATTGCTGCTTCATTTGCAGCGTCCTCTTCGGCTTGAGTACGGAAGCCGTTCCGCGTCGCAGTCTCTGAAATTTGCTGAATCTCTCGGTCATTGTGGTTCATGTTCCCACAACCCTGTAAAGTGTTGCTTCTGCGCTCGATAGCACCAACAATCGTTCGCCGAATGTCTGATCCCGGACGAGGCCCCGTACCACCCAGGCGTTTCCCCGAATTCTTGGTCAAAGTACGACGTTTCTCGGCAGCGGCCCGGGCAAGGCGGCGAGCTTCTTGCATTGGGATCCGGCCGCCGCCTCCCAAGCGATGGCCATCGGAGAGAAAACCTTCGCCCGTGTAGCCTTTCCGTATGAGTGCCTCGTGCTCATCCCGTAGCTGGTTCCACAGGGCATGGAAGTTTCCGTCGTGTGGTCCAAAGACAATATGGGAGAGCTCGTGGAGCATGGTGTCGACGACCTGCTCTATGGGGAGAAATAAAGATCGGTCGCCGGGATACCGTAATCGGACCAGAATTCTCTGCCCTCTGTTGACGTTGAGGCCTGCAATAGTGTTAGTTGGCGAAAAGGAGCTGCAGGCAAAATCACCTACCAAGCAAATTCGCCTGATCAGGGTAGAACTCTGCAAGCTCCCGCACCTTCCAACCCCTCGCTCGCATGATGGGCTTCACCAGAGAGGCAACCTTCTTGAGGATTTGGAGGGCATCGCTGGCCCGCGGAAAGTCCACCAAATGGGAGTATGAAAGGATGAGAGCATCATGTTCAGGCATGTTGGCTGTAGTCTTGCCCGCGGCCCGGTCAAAAACGTGGTATGTCCGCAATGTTGTGTAAGCCGAAGATAGAGTGACGTCGGTGAAGGTTTTCAGGGACGCCGCCCGCAGAGGAGTAGTAAAGGAGGCAAGGAAAGTCAGGAAAGAGACAACAGCAGGGGTATCGAAAGGAAAGCGACGCACATCGCCGAACGGTGAATGGAAACGCCCAGAAAGAGATTCATTCGCATCGTAAGCAGTGGGCGACACGCACGAAGACGCGTAAGGCTTGATGCCTCCCAGTGATAAGGCGTAGGTGGCCAGCAAGGCAGTGTAGCTTGGCGGTGAATGTTGGGCAGGTGACTCGCGCTGGACGTCCAACTCACAAAAAACCCAGGCGGGTGCGGGGTGCCTGATGACTCAGCTTCAGCTGCTGCGGGCAGGAACCTTCAGGGCGGGCGGGCAGTGACATGCTCTCTCCCTCCCGCCTTCCGCCTTCGGGTGATCGATTCAGCTGTCAAATCTGGAAGAGGCGTTGACCTTGTCACCTAACCCATGAACCAACTTTGTCGACGAACCCTGAATCACCAAAATTCCAGTCACCATTGGCCGGTTGACCGAGCCACGCAGCGGAATGGTAGAAGCCCGGAAAACCTGATGTGGTGCAGCCAGATGTTGGACAAAACAGGGCAGAGATGTCTTGCAGAGATTAACTCGCAGCGATCTGCCGCGCCAAGTGACTACACCATCGGTTCGCTTGCGCTTATGCACTTCAAATCCGACGACCTCCCTTCGACAACGAATTCTTTGAATGCCGACTTGGCATCGGGAAACTGGGCCGGCGCCGGTTCGGATGACCATTTACTTAAGGACAACATTCCAGCGCGTGTCTGGATCTTTCGTGCGGCAGTTGCCGACTGTGAAACCTTGTCGTGCCATCAAGTAACCTCACGTCTGCCAACTTTTCCAACTTTGGAACTTGCGCAGCTTTTCTTCCATGTTGGAAGAGGACCAAATCCCAACTGTGCATACCAGCTGAGTGGCCAAGTAGTTGTCCAAGTCAGACGAGCTGATGATATTCAGGACGGAGACGCTGTTTCAGCAATGCATGAATCCCGCCCGCATCCCGACCGGCACCCCCATTAGGTCTTCCGTTGACCGGTCACATTAAACTTTGCTCCGACGCTGCCAATCCTGACATGGACAAACCACAATCAAAAACGCCTATTTTCCGTCGCATCTCGCCAGCAACTTCAGATGATGGGTCTCGTCGCTGAAAAACCCGAAACGACGGGTTCACGAAGGTCGGTTACGGAGCCGGAGACGCATGCCCTTTAAGTGAACCCTCCCATGACGCCTCCCGTGACGACTCCGGAAGTTCGGCATCACGACTTGGTCGGCTCTGCGGACAGGGGTCGCATGCCCGACTCACAGTGTTTCGGAAGCCAAGCATACGGCCACCACACCGGGCCGCCGTCTTCAGAAGACAGTGCCCGCGAAGAATCTATTTGAGATGGCATGCCTGATCGACTGTCGCAGGTTGTCTACAGATGCGCCTCTTCAATGGCGGTCGACCCGGGCTCCTACCAGTAAAACTCGAACCATTTTGTGCCCCTGGTCTTGAGTCTCCGCAGACATGGCGGATTCTTCTTTTCTATTTGCGATTCGTAATCGCTTGGGTCGTGATCTCCCACTTGCGACTGCGCAATCGCGCATTTCGAAACGGTCTCCCCGAAGTTGATCTATGCGTGGGCACGATGGGGAATCACACTTGGCAAAAGCTTGTGTGCATATCTTCCCTTGGCTCTCCGCAATTCAAGCCTTGTTGGTTCCATGCTTCTTTCTGCTTAGACGACTTCTTCGCTTTTCGCTTGTTTCCCGTATAGAGCTCCGTGAGCCTTAATCGCCGGGCTTCATTCCTTCGCCAGGCCTTCTCTTCTCTAGGTGACCATGCGGTTCACCAACTCGGCTGCAGTTGCAGCATTCGTTCCATTCTTTGCCCATCTTTCTGACGCGGCTCCTTCAAAGAAGTCAGATATCTCCAGGTTTGAGATTTCCACTCTAGGTGGCGGGGCTTTCCGGATAGAGCAGGTCCCCAACCCCGATTTTTACTATGGAAATCGACGAGGACCCATCGCCCTGGCCAGAGCCTATTCCAAGTTCAACCATCCCATTCCAGATGATCTTCTAGGTCTCATTGATCAGATTCTGGGAGAACTAGGCCTGTTGAACGGATCGAAAGGCGGACACAAAGGAGGAAAGGGAAAGGGAAATGGAAGTGGGAAGGGTGGTAACAACGGCTCTGGGGGTTCCAAGGGCAACGGCACAACTACAACGCCAGGAGCGGGAGGCAATGGTACCACAGGAAACGGTCAGTTTGTCACTGTATGTCCCTGAACTAAGGTATGCTGACATCCATCAGGTGGTGAGGTCGCTGCCATCCCGGCCCAGTTCGACAGCCAGTACCTCTGCCCAGTACAAATTGGCACGCCTCCCCAGACCCTGAACCTCAACTTTGACACCGGCTCGTCCGACTTGTGGGTATTCAGTAGCGAGACACCCGCGTCTCAAGTGGGAGGGCAGACTATCTACAAGATCAAGGACAGTTCGACCGCCAAGGCTGTGACTGGCGCGACATGGTCCATCTCGTACGGTGACGGCAGCTCATCCAGTGGTTCCGTCTACACGGATAAAGTGACCATTGGCGGTGTTACGGTTGACAGCCAGGCTATCGAGTCTGCCAACACGGTCTCGGCATCCTTCACCAGCAACCAGAACCAGTCTGGACTCGTTGGTTTGGCCTTCGGAACCATTAACACAGTCACACCCACCAAGCAGAAGACATTCTTTGAGAATGCCTTGAATAACCTCGCCATGCCGCTGTTCACTGCCAACCTCAAGAAGGGCGCAGGTATTTCACACCTCTATCCAGACACCAAAGTCGAGGACTAATCATCCCAACAGCTGGTAACTACAACTTTGGCTACATCGATACGACAGAGTTCACCGGCGACATCGCCTTCGTCCCGGCCAACACAACCCAGGGTTTCTGGCAATTCACCGCCCAAGGCTTCTCCGTCGGCTCAAACGGCAGCGCCGCAACCTCCGCGCCTCACCAAGCCATCGCCGACACGGGCACGACCCTGATGCTCCTCCCAGATAACATCGTCTCGGCGTACTACAAGAACATCGCCAGCGCCCAGTTCGACAACACCAACGGCGGCTACGTCTTCAACTGTAAGGACTCGATTCCGTCCTTCACCGTCGACATGGGCACCTACAAGGGCGTGGTGCCCGGCGAGTTCATCAAGTTCGCCCCCGTGGACGGCCAGACGATTGAGACGTCGACGACGTGCTTCGGCGGGATCCAGAGCGCGGCGACGCTGCCCTTCGCGATCTACGGCGATGTGTTCCTGAAGAGTCAATTTGTCGTCTTTAGTTCGAAAAGCGGAACCAACGAGCTTGGATTTGCGAACAAGCCATTGTGATAGACCATAGACCATGATATAGCAGTCGGGCAAACCATCGCGAACAGCTGGGTGCCCCGGCATGAATGGTTTTGTTTGGATGGTTTATGCATTGTTCTCACCACATGTCAACGAAATGTTACGACAGCGTTCAGGTTTGAAGATAGATACAGAAATAAACATACATAATGTTGCCTCTTTGCTCCTGTCCACCACCTGGCGGTCTTGCCACCGAACAGCAGCACCATTTATTACGTTTATGCCGATTGCAATGTCACAAGGCTCTGCGGGAGCATTCTTCGCACCAACAGTCCACAGTGTACATATACTGATGTAGTTTGGGATCAGATATGACGATCAGCCGACCAATGTGTTTCTTCTCCTTTGCTTTTTTTTCTTTCATTGGACAATGATTACGGTCTCTATTCAACAGCCAGGAAATACCTATGGCGGAACATTACAACGTCGAAGTCGAAGTCTTGCTTTTGGAATCTATCGTCCGCCAACAATTCCGGCGTATTCTTCCTCGACAAATTCAGAATACCTAAACAGTTCGCAATGCCTTCACACGCAGGACGGCGGCAAGGCTTGGTACCTAAGAAAGTCTACACGTATCGATATTTTGACAACGGAATGTGGTCACTTTCCAACGGGAGTCAACGTTGGCTTGAATTTGTTTGCCGATTATGGCTTAGATAACGTCCGCCCTTCTTATATAACAACCTCGATCGCGATGGACGGCAGACGAAGGCCTTCTCTAATTGCAGGGCTCAGGTAAATCTCACCATACAACTTTCTGGTCAGCTTGTCCCAGCGGCTCATTGAGTGGGAAGGCCTCTGGGTTTATCTGCTTTTAGGTTATGTGAATGTTGATTGTGAACACGTTCATGTCTTGCGGCAACGTTGTTCGGAGATTGCATCAGCTTCTATCGACAACGGGACTTCCACCACACGCCAGACATCGTCGACAGACGTTGTCGTCGCGAGATTTGCCTCAGTCCCCTTGCCAAAGCCCGGCCGTTCTTGTTGTGTATATGAGGAATCCGTTGGAAGATGACATGAAGTCTCAAAACAATAATGTGAAAGCATTCCGTGAAAGCATTGATCTCCATACGTTCGAGTCGTGTCTGGAGTCTCGCCGCATTGAGGGCAGAGAAGAGTGTGAATCTAGGCATGTTCTCGGGGATGACCTTCGATTGATAATCCCTCCTCATGTATTCAGCCGGTTGTTTCAAAGACAGAGACCATGCGGGATGATACATCGTCGTTATGTAGTGGCAATCGGCTTGCTCAACAGCTGTCTCACTGGTACGGGCTGTAGGCGAAACATTTGGCCAGGAGAATTACCTGACAATTCCTGGTGGCAGAGAGTGCCCCCTTCCATCTTTGATTTTGATACATTTGGCCCATTCCAGTTTAAATAGATCTTCAAGCCCCGACTTGGCCTTTGGTGTTCTTACGACGGGTGCAGTCTTCAGTCAGTCCCCAACGGTGTGCCCACCAATCTGACACTGGTCGTCGAAGGCACTGTCACATATCTAGTCAGCATTTCTCCGACTCTTTTCATTTTCCCGGACACGTAGACTTACCCATTCGACACAACCCAAGAAGCTTCCTAGTCGAAATCGTAGGCTTGGCTGTTGCACTGAGCGCGCCCGTTGGCAGGAAAGTAGCCGATACACTCGGAGAGGCCGCCGGCGCTGCACTTGACGTCGTCGCCGTACCGCGCGGCGTTCTTGCAGACTTCCTCGCAGCTGTGGGCGTACGTCGAGGTCGTACAGCAGTGGGACCCGTCCGTGAACTTGCACTGGCAGTAGTCGCAGGCATGTACCGCCAATGCCACGGCTAGCATGGCAAGGACGGAATGGATGAGGCGGACCATCGCGAGCTCTCGGTCGAAATGGGATCTTTGAGGGAAGTGAGATGGGTGAAGGCAGAGATAGACTGATTGTTTTGAAGAGGTGCATCGAGTCTGTGGTCCACAGGAGCTACGGGATTTCTTTCGGCGGCGTGGTTCTTATATATCCAGGTAGCAAATGCTGCTTTTCGTATTCTATACGTCATGGTTAACATCACGAAGTGGCGCGTCCGGTTACTTGCTATGCTTCTCGTTTCGAGTCATGTTGATGCTTGTCCGTCTCTCGGGATTGCCCCAGATTCTTCAACTTCTGGAAAGAGGCAGTATTCGGCACAATGTGGGGAAGAAACAACCTCAAAGGAACAGCCGCACGAGCACGTGGGAGAGATATTGGTCTGTATCGACTGGGAATGAATGTTGAAGCCCGCAAGCCAATAGTTCCAGTAATGTAACAACAATGTTCATTAGGGATGAGCAGAAACGTGGTGATGGAGTCATTTGCACCTTGCACTTGGTTAGACCAAGCACGTGCCTTGAAATTGTGAGCGGCGAGAAGAATTGGCGATTTTTGACCTGCGGTTGTCCGTGGAGTGTGATGTGAAGCGTCATTCCGAGCCGGCGCGGCAATGAAGAATCTCTTGGATTGAATTGCATGTACGAAGCTGCTGGCTCTACTCTTGCAGCCATGGAAGGTGCAGTATATCCCTACTGGCCCTGACCTCGACCACCTGTGACACCCCAACCTAGTCTATGCTGCTGCTACATTTCCCGAAAGCCCATGTCTGTAGTGCGTGCATGTCTTGATGATAGACGCTAGACGAGCCCCCTCCGCCAACCAACACCAATCCCAGCCTGCCCCCGGTGACCGCTCTATTTCTGACTGTTCAAGAAACTGAGATACGAGTTCCACCCGATGCTGATGACGTTGACGAACAGGACCCGGTGGTGGAGAGGGACCAGCTTGAAGTTGACCATCTGCACAAAGGGCCAGAGCATGTAGTTGGAGGTGAGCGCCGTCGTGTAGCTCTTCTCGAGCTTCTCCTGGGGAGGGACGCCCTCGAGGACGGCCATGGAGGACAGGAAAACGCCGATCATCACCGGGGCGAAGACGCCCTGATCGACACCGACGCGGGCGAGGATCTCGAGGTTCTTGTTGCGGAGGACGACGTTGTTCTGGAGGAACTTGAACCAGGTTGTGGCGGCGGGGCCGAAGACGGCTGGTGAAGTCAGCATAGGCTTGCTCATCCAAAGGGTTTGCCCTGGAGCAATAGGGTATCAAACTCACTTCCGCCGTAGAGGGCCATGCGGCCGGTGCGAGCCCACTCATGCTTCTCGAGGCCGCGCTTCTCGACGAGCTGCTGAGCGGTCAGGTCACCAGTGGCGAAGAGGATGGCGGTGGTGATGCTCTGGGTGAGCAGCGGGCGGGCCGCAAGTCGTGCTTGATACCTGTGGGTGCGGTCAGTGATGGGATTCAGCAATATCAATATTGAGATGAGGCTCACCAGCCGAGCATGGTGAAGGTCGTTGGAGATTGGTGGAAAACCCGAGACTGACTGGGCTGGATTTGCGATTCAATCCAGCTGAGAAACGACGCAGAAATGTAAAACGCTCAATAAGACCGAGGAAACTTTGATAAACACAGAAAGGGAAAGGGACAGGTCGTGAGCGAGTGAATTGAGGCTGGGCGATGTGAATTGGTCGGTTGGGGAGGGTGAGAGGTGAGAGGCGCGCTTCAAGATTTGGAGGGTGCTGCCCCAGCAAGGAAGGTGGATGACGATCGGTAGCTTCTGTTCGCTGCACGTGACAGCAAAGCTCTATCTGGCTTGAACGGAGTGGTGCAATCACAAGGACGGGCAAAAATCAATGGGAATCTAGAACATTTGGAAAAAGAAACGACTTTGATCTGACGGTGAGGCGGAAAGCTCTGGTTTAAGCTCCTGCCCAAGACTCAGGGAATATAGGATTTATTACTCGGGGCCGTCGCGATAAGGGACTTTTCCTTGTCTCGCAGCCAGATGCTGGATTGGCCACGAGTCGGGATTTCCAAAAGCAGATCTCCGTGCCAGCGCGTAATGCAATACTCGGGGTCAGGTTCCATTGTTCCATCCGGCCAGTCTTCCCCGAAGCCCCACGATGTCCATATTCACAATCTGGGGTGCAGGAATGAGGTTTGGCTCAATGGTCATTCCCAAGCTTTTTGATCCCATTCCGCAGCTTGAGCTTTCTGGGTTCCTTTGCGCGTGGTCGATACGAAGGAGTCAATCGTGGGAACATAAATACAATGGGCGAAGAGGCAGAAATTTTCGACAGGCAAAGGACCACCGCCTTTTCGACCTCGTTGTCGCTGCCAGACGCGTCTCGGGCTCGGGGCCTTGCTGGCTTCCGCCCGCCCAGACGATACTGCTCGCCAGTTTTCAACGAACGATCCTTCACTTCATCAGCCTCGACGTCGTCACCTGTCGTTATTGCCCTTCTGACCACACCAGCAAGCACCACCTGAATCTCGGCCCAAAAGACTGCGTCTTCTTCATACCGCTGCGCAAGGCAACGAACATAATGAAAACGATGGATATATCAAAAATTGCGCCCACGATGGCCCCGAAGGGCAATCGAGAAAGGTCGACTCCGCGATGTGCAATGCAGGCCTCCCTCTCTGCCGCTCGGATTTCTTGATCACCCGACGGCCAGACAAGGTAAGTATGAAGAAGAGAAGTTCTAAATCAAGCAAAGGTGGGAGACTGGCGAGGTTTATATAGATTTTCGCGAGTGGCCCGCAATCAGTAAATTGGTACGTACCATGGGTGCCTGAGGTGCGAGTGAGGCCTTCCAGGTTACGACCACCTTCTGCCTGAGGTAGGCAGACAAGCGAGAGGCAAGAGGCAGGCGGGAAGTAGGTCAGAGAAAGTGCAAGAAGCTGAGCGCCTGCTTTGCCGTGTCAAATGACTCTGGTAGCCAGCTGAAAAGGCCGTAAAGGGGCAGGTGCCTTCCTGAAGCCAGGGGATGAAAATGGCAGGCACGCTTCTCGTGATGACTTCTTAGGAAGGACGCAACGGCGCCCTCAACCACAGACATCAGCGATGGCGGTCCATCTACAACACGAAACGGGTCGCATTGAGCCAGTATATCCAGGCTCGCCCGTTTGTGACATTGAGATCAGTCAATGAAATCGCCTGCAGACCACAGATGGGTATTAGCAGCTTAATGGTCCGGGTACCTCATCGGTGGTCGTCGCCGTTGCGGCTCATCGGGAGCTGCGAACCCCGCGCCAGTCTCGGTGTGGCCAATGAGCTCCGGTGGTGGGGAAGATGAGGAGAAACTCCGGACGATGGGGAGTGGTAATGTAGATCTACCAAGAACAAACCGACTTCATTCTTGGAACGATAAGTCCGGCATAGGTGATTAGGACCCATGAATACATAGTGCTACGTCGACAGAATCACAGTTCACACAACGTCGTTGAGCGCACCTTCTCTTATCGTCGACTATAGCAGGAGTCTCTTCGGGTGGGTTCTGACCTTCTCATCAACTCCACCGTCAAGCAGGGCCGGGATTCTTCGGGGGCACCCTCTGAGCCACTGCAACGTTGCAAGCCGCATCTAGTGTGCATGAGTATCTACCCTACGGCTCTTGACATCTCGGTGGTCGCATTCAGCATACTTCGTACATTTAGTTGATCAGGATTCCAGACCACCTCTTGTGTGACCTTCTAGGATCAAAACAATATCCAACGATGACAGCCTCAAACCTGCTCGAACGCCTCAACCGCGATGGCTTCGTTGTTGTTCCCTCGATTATGTCCGAGGGACAGCTCGCAAAGCTCCGGGAGGCAACCCAAGCAGCTACGGCGATGGCCCGGGCCGGCAAATGGCCCAATGTACGCACACTCCCGAAGCAGTTTCCGCCATGGCCGCTCGCCGGCCCCGAGCCGCCAGCGGAGGGCATCTGGGGCGTGCAGGGAATGATGCACCCGGACATGCCCAACAACGATGTCTTCATCCGAACCTATTTCTCCGATGCTGTCATTGAGCCAACAAAGCAGCTCTTGCAGTGCACTGACGATGACCTCGTCATGGAGCTTTTCAACTTGCTCATCCGGCCGGACCACGATTTCGAGCTGCGATGGCATCGAGACGACATCCCGGCGACGGCCACTGCGGACGAGGAGCTTGATCGTCTCAATAAGCCAGCCTATTCGGCGCAGTGGAACCTCGCATTGTATGACGACGCTAGCCTTATCGTTGTGCCTGGATCACACACCAGAGCCAGGACGGACGTGGAGCGCAACGCGGATCCATACGAGAAGGAGATTCCGAACCAGCTGCTGGTGGAGCTCAAGGCCGGCGACATTGTGTTTTACAACAACAATATTCTACATCGCGGAGCTTACGTTGCTACCAAGGAGCGAATGACACTCCATGGAAGCGCCGGTCATGTGAACGGTAGCACTCTGCGGGCGCGTAATGTATTGCAACACGGACTGAAGGGCTGGGCAGACAAGATTGACCTCGGTGTGCTGGACGAGAAGGAGCGGGCTCGGGCTGAAAACATGCGGAGAATGCTTGTCAAGCTGGGTCAGGAGGCGGGGGAGGTGGGATATTCCCTCGAGGGGTAGGAGAGATAAAGAGATAATGGATCGTCTTACAAGACAATGTGCTGAGTCCATGCAAGTAATGCTGCGCTTCCGAGGACGAGAGGCTGGGTTGTGTTGGAGACTGACCAGCGGTGTGTCACAGCTAGCTGGGCGGTGACTTGGAATTGCGCGATTGTTGGTCATGCACAATCGGCGCTTGTGATCCCGTGACCGTCTACCATAAGCCCATCCCCAGTAACAGTAAAAAGAGGATCATGTTCGGTGAGAGGTTCTGGAACAAACACTCGCGTCATCCTCCAGAATCAACAATCGCTACCGCCCTCCAGACTGAACGTTGTTTCATCTCAAGCTCAACAGCAATTTACACAGCGCTTAGAAGAGCCCGGGAGTAAGGGCGAATGTGGTCTGTGCGCGTGTGTGATGCCTAAGTAACCAGGTATCTGTGGATGTGAGCTTTTCCCGTTCTGCGGCCATATCCGGGTTTGCCAACCGTCAACCGACTCTGTCGGCATCAGCCTCAAATCTCCTCAACCACCTCCCAAAACACCGTCACCTCCCCCGATCGCTCGATACCCGTACCACTGGCGACAATGTTGCCCTCATCGGTGCGGCGCGTGGTCGCCTCGGCCCCCCAGTCGCCCCTCGTCTCCTCCCTCAGCACCTCCGCTCCGAGAGCGGCTGCGACCTTCACCCTCAAACAGGTCCAGAGACCCGGCGGCCACCAGAGACGATGGTCCTCTTCGAGTCCCTCGAGTCCGAACAATAACGGCTCCAAGGAGACACCCGCCGGCCAGAACGTCCACGCCTCGGCATCGAGCTCGAACGCCAAGGCCAGCGGCGAGAAGCGGAAACGGAAGAGCAAGGAAAGCGCCAACAGAGATGCTGCGCAAAAGCTGCCCAGCGTGCCTAGCACACAACACCTGTCGCAAGAGGGTATGTTTTAAGTCCGAAATGGTATCAATATGGATCACATTGACTGGTTCCTCGCAGCCCTGGGACTGTCGACCTTCTTCTCCCTCCACCGGCCGATATCAGTGACCCACAGCATGCCCAAGAGCGTCACCGAAGAGGCTTTCGCCGCCATCTTCAAGCCTCGAACCCGCGCCAACAAGACCGCCGATGTCATCAACACGCTATCAAGGACGGCCGACGATATTGAGGGCGCTATGGCGAAGATGACCGTCACAAACCAGGAGGTTGATGCGTCAGGCGAGCCTGTCCAGAAGATTGACCTCAAGCACGCCGACGGCAGCGAGTCGAGCGTCTATGTCCAGCTGAACGCCATGGCCGGACAGTTCGTTCCCTTCCGCCCTCCCCCAGCGCCTCAACAGGAGGGTGTCGCCGATGCCCACGCCGAGTCCGCCGTTGAGGACGTAGTCGACGAAGCCCCTCACCACCGCATCTACAAGGCCATGTTCACGATCGAGGAGAGCACCGATGCCGACGGACAGATCCAGGTCCTCGCCCACAGCCCCAAGATCATGAACGAGGAGGTCCCGCGCTCGTTCCTCGAGCGCATGGCCCAGCGCCAGATGAGATTCGACGAGGCGCAAGGCAACGACACCATGCACGCCCTTAGTGTTAGACGTCAGCGCAAGCTCAAGATGAAGAAGCACAAGTACAAGAAGCTGATGAGGCGCACGCGCAACCTGCGCCGTAAGTTAGACAGAATATAAGCTGGTGGTGGCTGTATATACAAGCCCACGGTTTTCTTCACTTTTCTTCGGACGCATTTCGGGAAACTGGTCTCTCATAATTGGTGTTCGGCCTAGCATAGCCGCTGTCTCCTTTTTCCTTGGTCATCTTTACGACTACATAGAAAGCGAGAGACAGCCTTTGCATCAGATAGCAATGATCAACTGTTGCATCACTCATGACCACGCCGTCTCCCCAAGAGAGACTCAGAGCCTGCTCAACGCCAAAGACATCCTGTAACAACAAGAAGTGTATTAGTAGCTACATAAGGGAAGGAGGAAATTCACGGCTTCAAGATTCTCATGACTTGCTCCTTATCTTGAGCGATCGTATGTGACTTGGGTGGTGATCTTATCGGGTGTGGCCAGTCGCAGAGTGGTGGGGTGGTCTTAGCGGGAAAACTTGCTGCACCCCACCACCAGTGTCCACCAGAAAGCTGACCGCCCGGCAGAAAATGTTCTCTCCGCCAAATTTTTGGTTTTCTTAAGGTCTGCGACGCCCGTGAGTTTGCGCGCAGTACAGCAAATCCGACCTGTTCCCCTCTGCAATCTCACGCCGTCTGCAAGCTTCTCAAGATGTCGACGCGCAAGGCAGTGTAAGTTGTGAAGCTCCATATGCTTTTGCGATCAAACTGCTCACCCATTACTACAGAGATCAGCGGATTCCCGCTCTAATTCGCAATGGCATCCAAGAGAAGAAACGCAGCTTCTTCGTGGTTGTCGGTGACCGTTCCAAGGATGTCATAGTTCACCTCCACTACATCATGTCCCAAGCGGACATCAAGCAGAACAAGTCTGTCTTGTGGGCATACAAGAACAAGCTTCTCGGCTTCACCAGGTAGAATCCCTCGACGCGCTTGCAGGAAAGCTAGCTGACAAAGTCATTGCCAGTCACCGCAAGAAGCGCGAGACCAAGATCAAGAAAGAAATCAAGCGAGGCATCCGCGAAGCCAACAACGAGGACCCCTTCGAGCTCTTCGTTTCCCTCCACAACATCCGATACGTCTACTACAAGGAGACCGAGAAGGTACTGGGAAACACCTTCGGCATGTGCATTTTGCAAGACTTCGAGGCCATGACGCCAAACATCCTCGCCAGGACGATCGAGACGGTCGAGGGAGGTGGTCTGGTGGTTCTTTTGCTCAAGGGCATGAGCAGTTTGAAGCAGTTGTACACCATGTCTATGGACATCCACTCGAGATACCGCACTGAGGCTCACGACGACGTTGTTGCCCGCTTCAACGAGCGCTTCATTCTGTCGCTGGGTAGCTGCGACTCCTGCTTGGTCATTGATGACGAGCTGAACGTCTTGCCCATCTCCGGCGGCAAGAGCGTCAAGGCCCTGCCCCCGGCGGAGAACGACCAGCCCAAGACACCTGCACAGGTGGAGCTGGAGGAGATGAAGGAGTCACTTCAAGATACCCAACCAGTCGGCTCCCTGGTTACCCTGGCGAAGACGGTCGATCAGGCCAAGGCGCTTTTGACTTTTGTGGATGCCATCGCAGAGAAAACTTTGAGGAGTACAGTGACTCTTACGGCTGCCAGAGGTCGTGGAAAGTCCGCTGCTATGGGTGTGGCTGTTGCGGCTGCTGTTGCCCACGGCTACAGCAACATCTTCATCACTTCTCCCTCACCAGAGAATTTGAAGACGCTGTTCGAGTTCGTCTTCAAGGGCTTCGATGCGCTCGGCTACGCGGACCACGCCGACTACTCGATTATCCAGTCTACGAACCCCGACTTCAACAAGGCCATTGTCAGAGTCAATATCCACCGCGCCCACCGTCAGACTATTCAGTACATCAGGCCACAGGATGCGCACGTTCTTGGTCAGGCTGAGCTGGTTGTTATCGACGAGGCCGCTGCCATTCCTCTGCCCTTGGTCCGCAAGCTGATGGGCCCCTACCTCGTCTTCATGGCATCCACTATCAACGGTTACGAAGGAACTGGTCGTTCGCTGTCCCTGAAGCTCATCAAGCAGCTGAGAGAGCAGTCAAGACCTGGGGCCAAGACCAATGGCGAGACGGAAGTTGCCGACCGGTCAACAGGCAAGGCCGCAAAGGACCAGGCCTCGAGCCTCCAGGGCAGTCGCACTCTTCGCGAAATCACTCTGTCTGAGCCCATCAGATACGCCCAGGGTGACTCAGTCGAGAAGTGGCTGAACAAGCTTTTGTGTCTGGACGCCACCCTTCCCAAGGCCAAAGCCAGCAGCCAGGGATGTCCTGACCCGTCGCAGTGCGAGCTTCTCAAGGTCAACCGCGACACCTTGTTCTCTTTCCACCCCATTCCCGAAAAGTTCCTGCAGCAAATGGTGGCGCTTTACGTTGCCAGCCACTACAAGAACTCACCCGACGATCTTCAACTAATGAGCGATGCCCCCGCCCACGAACTCTATGTGCTTATTGCCCCGACAACAGACGGCAAGCTCCCTGAACCCCTGTGTGTTATTCAGGTTGCGCTGGAAGGAAAGATCAGCAGGCAGAGCGTCATCAACAGTCTGAGCAGAGGACAAAGGCCTTCTGGTGACTTGATCCCCTGGCTTGTCAGCCAACAGTACCAGGATGACGAGTTCGCTTCTCTTTCCGGCGCCCGTGTCGTCAGGATAGCCACGAACCCCGAGTACGTGTCTATGGGCTACGGCACCAAGGCTCTCCAGCTCCTCACCGACTTTTACGAGCAAAAGTTCACCAACCTCTCCGAGGATGCTGACGTTGGTATGGAGGAGACGTTGACGAGAGTGACCGACGCAGAGTTGGCCAACACTTCTCTGCTCGCGGATGACATCCAGGTCAGAGACATCAAGAAACTGCCGCCCCTGTTTGCCAGATTCTCCGAGATTAGGCCTGCAGCTCTGGACTATGTCGGTGTCAGCTACGGCTTGACGCAACCCCTTCACAAGTTCTGGAAGCGGGCCAACTTTGCCCCTGTCTACCTGAGACAAACCGCCAACGACTTGACTGGCGAACACACGTGCGTCATGCTCCGGCCTTTGGAGAGCACCGCAGACCAGACATGGCTCGGCGCCTTTGCGAGGGACTTCCAGCGCCGTTTCCAATCTCTGTTGTCCTACCAGTTCAGAGAATTCCAGTCGATCGTCGCGCTCAGCATTGACGAGTCCGCCAATGCTGGTGCCAAGCTCGATGGCACTGAGCCCACGGCCCTGACAAAGGTCGAGCTCGACAGGCTCCTGACGCCCTTCGACCTGAAGCGTCTCGAGTCGTACGCCAACAACATGCTCGACTACCACGTCATCCTTGACCTTGTCCCTACGCTTGCCGGTCTTTACTTCACCGGTAAGCTCAAGGCCAACATCAAGTTGACGGGTGTGCAGCAGGCTATCCTGCTGGCCATTGGTCTGCAGCGCAAGGACATGGACGTCATCTCTCAGGAGCTGTCTCTGCCGAATTCCCAGCTGTTGGCCATGTTCATCAAGATTCTTCGCAAGGTCACGTCCCACTTCAGCACGCTTGTGTCCGCCGCTGTCGAGGCTGAGCTTCCCAAGAACGCCATTGGCGTCAGTAGGGACAACGCTTCTGGAGCTCACGACGATGAAGTCGTGGACCAGAGGTTCCAGCCTCTTGAGACTTCTCTCGAGGATGAACTCGAGGAGGGAGGCGATGAGGCTCTGCAGAAGCTCCGTAAGAAGCAGCGTGAGCTCATTGACTCCCTTCCCCTTGACCAGTAAGTCTTTCATTGTACATGGTATTACAAAGAAATATTAGACTAACAACTATTCTAGGTACGAAGTCGACGGCGACGCTCCCGCTTGGGCGGAGGCAGAGCAGGCGGTCAAGGACGGCAAGTCTGGTGTAGTAAGTGTCAAGACCAGCAAGTCGAAGCGCAAGGCCGGGCCTTCGGCGGCGGACGTCTACGAGGAGGCCTTCGGGGACAAGTCCAACAAGAAGGCGAAGAAGCACAAGAAGGACAGGAGCTGAACGGGTTGTAAAGAATGACTAAAAGTGTAAAAGCATCATCGTTCTCAAAAGGGGGTTGCGGTATTTGTCCTACAAAAAGGGGCCCTGGAGTTCAACTGGCATCTTTCTTGTTTATATGAGAGGTTTCTTGATTTGAGTAGAACTTAATGGTATAGCCATCTGAAGAAGTCTGGGTTTGATGGGTTCGGTGACTGCTGTCGATGGTTTGCTATCAACGAGGGGTCCCAAAAAGAGAAGGCACCAAGGCGCCGCCCTTCTCTCCTACCTTTCCTCGATTTTCAACACCGCTCCTTCCCTTTCGCGATCCGATTTCTCCAGCCCATCCACCTCTTTCTGACTTTTCGTCCTCCGACACACCTACCTTGTCTGAACAACCCCAAAACACCCGCAAGAACATCACGATAAAACAAACTTTACCATCGTCACCCATCAAATGCAACAGACATTTCCACTCGCGCATCCTACCGTTCAGGCCAAGACAATTCGACACCATCCCCCCGAACACAGAACCAATTCACGACACCGTCGCCATGTGCACCGAAACCATCGCCTTCTGTGACAAGTGCGGCTTCCACCGCCACATGCACTACCACCTCTGCGCCTCCTGGATCTGGTCCTACCGCGAGATAAGATGGGGCTTCAGAACCCCCCTCAACTCCATCCCCAAACCGCGCGACTGCCCCCATCTCGACGGCGAGGCCAAGACGGAGATCCTGCCCGGCCGCTGCCCTAACGCGCAATGTCCTGGACACGCCGTCAAGGCGCAGCAGGACGCCGAGAACGACGCTAACGGCACGGCGGACACGAGGACCAAGGTCGAGAAGATCGAGGCGGAGAGGATCAAGCTGGGGTTTAGACGGTTCCGGCCGCAGGCGTTTACGGACCCGTTGGAGGTTGGACGACCGCATCAGCGCAAGTTGCCTGTCGTGATGCTGAATTTCAAGCCGGAGGAGGGGTCGGGATGGGGACGGGTCCGGGGCAGCGCGGCGGGGAGCGCTGCGGGGAGTGCGGCGGGGAGTGCGGCGGGGAGTGCGTCAGGGAGCACGCAGG